TAAAGTGGGGTGGATGTGGAGATGGCTTGGGTGTGGCTTACCAGTGGGCCATGTCGTAATGAGTCCCATGAAATACACAAAGTGGACTTCTTTTCCAGTAGCTTCCACAGTTACATTGTACGATGTGCAGGGCTCCAATTCGTTAACAGTCACTTCCCCAACTGCCACATTTGCAGCTGTATATCCGTGGATGCCGGAGGATAAATCGGTTTCCACAATTACCTTAATGTGAGTTACACCGAGTTGTGTCAGTCTGTGGACATTCCAGGTGAAGTTGAAGAAGTGGGAACCCTCACGACTCAATTGGATGTTGGACACCAGTGTTGCTGTTCCTGCTGTTGGCGCTTTGATAAAAGAGAATAGAAGAGGCAAAATAGTGCGAATTTCAGCAAAAATGGCTTGTGCGGATGTGTGCATTGGAGAGAATTCTGATCGTGTGTGAAGTAGGAATACGGAATGGCAACTGGCTAAAGTCAAGAGTGACGGCAGGTACGCTGACATAAAATCCCCACACGCATGTGCAGATTCACATCAGTATAGTGTGGTCATATGCAGGTCCTTTACCATGCACCTCCTACCCTTAACAAGCATGCCCTTTCCATGTCTTAGCTTTTGAGTAGAGTGGCTTCGTTCTCTTATTTTTTCCCAGAACACGTTCCAATAACATCAGCAGACATGCTGAAGTACAAAATCAGTGAGGCTAGTCCTACTTCCACACAGTGCATGTACATTCAATGGCACTTTAAAGTCAACAAGATGGGCGAGCAGATGGGAGAGCAGAAAGCAGGTTATGGAGGCAACAAATGAGTCTGCTTACTCGTGTCAATTTGAATCGACTCTGATGTGATGTAATGCGGTGAGAAATGAGAGGAAACAGCTGAGCCACTTCTAGCCATTTGTTCCTTTCTGCTTGTAGGAGAACTTTCGCTATCCTACTTAGATTTACCGCCTAAACAAATGCCCTTATGTACTGATCGGAGTAGAGCGTCAGAAGGTAGGTATCTTACCAACTGCCAGTGCGAATCCTTTTCGCAAGATGGAAGTTACCAGCAAAA